TCTTGAAACAAGCCTCTCCCTTTAGGCGCTCAAGAATAGGACTCTTTGCCACCCTGCCAAATGCTGATACCGTACACTTGTCGCTCCATAACAAGTATCGTCAATGCGTCGACGAGGTCCGGAATTATTCGACACTCAAAATCTCGGAGAGACATGGACAACGAGCCATGTGAAAGCCCTTCGATCATAGCACGGCAACAGAATCACGACGGCAACAGAATCATGACGGCAACAGACCACGTTCCATGGTACTGTACCTCACTACGCCATCTCCTCCTTATTTCATGTTCTTGTCGGTTGTCTCACCAGCGCGTCGAGAAGGCATCGAACAGCCCAGTATCTTGGCCTGCCGTCTCCGGCGGGCTCCTCAGATTCCACGAAGTCCAACACCCAGAGCAGAGCCGATGAGAGTCCTTCTCCTTCATCCTCCGCGTCATCTGCTAACCCTGCAATCAACAAACAACGACTATTAGAAAGATGGTACGATCGAGACGTGTGTGTGTTCCATGTAGGTACAGTATCGAAAGCATCAATGGTGCGAGCATGATACTAAACAGAGGTCCGTCGTCTCTGCTGTCGCTCCACACCTCATCCACACAACAGTCAGCGATCGACAGCTAAAAACAACAGGATCTGCCAAGCACCAATATACAAATACCCGAACAACGGCAACTGTCGTGTCGTCGCCTTCGCTGTGGTGTGTGCTTCAACGGGCAACTACCACCACTCCACGTACAATGACGGAGAACCAGCTTTGCCATGTACTTCTATACGGCATGTCGAATGGTACCAGCCACGAACTTGTGCTCACCGCTGTCGTAGGCGAGGTACAAGTGGATGATGCTCTGAGCGGCCGCGATACGCACATTCGTAGGGTGTCGTCCTTCCGTGTACTCCTCGTAATCTACCTCGGGCCTGCAAAAGAACAAGCAGGACGGCACAAAGACAAACACCGAACGAAAACTGAAACAAACGACAGTAGGGCACCCATCTCTGATGAAAGGATGTCGAGTTAAAAACGCTGCTACTCATCGCCTCAACGGAAGCGATACGACCACAGCGATTGGTATTACAAAAATAATTTGTATGCCTCGGATAAAGTAGAACTAGGCGGATAGAGTAGAACTAGGCCACATCAGGACTGTTGTCTCTCGTGCACGTCTCCCTGGCGTGTTTTGACGGGAGAGCGCAATCGCGCATGCATACATGAAGCCAATGTCTGTCGGCAGTTGACACTTGGGGTGGAGGTAGACATGAGCCCAAGCGTCGAGTAACGCGGCGTGAACCTTCATGCCGCACTGCACTTAACGGGCCGATACTAGCGCTAACGTTGACAATAACGGGTCGATCGTCGGGTAGCTAGTTCATCGTGGTGATTTAGAGTATATGAGCTGTCATGGCCCGGGGATAATGTTGTGCCACATATTTCAATCGTTGCTGACTTGATATGATGCGTCGCCAAACGATTGAAAACATGTTCAACGCGCAGAGACAAACAAGAAGGTTGGGGGAGAAGCAGAAACCTTGACACCTGGCAGCAAGCGCGGCATGTCTCGAAAACTGATCTTCCTGACAGTACCTGCCACCCCTTAGCATCTCCAGCTGGCAGAGGCACTGCAGAGCACAAGCCGCTACAACGCCGTTGTGGCTCTTGGTGGTGCGAGTCGCGGGCTTGGCGGTCGCCTTGTGTCCCGAAGAAGATACACCCAGCATGTCGAGGTCCAGCCAGAGCCGAGCCTGGGAGAGATTGTTATGATTGGCATAATCCCAGTCATCAGAGGATTCGATCACAAAGTACGCTCGACATATTTTCACCGCGATGGTAAGCAGAAAGAGACACAGCACAAGAACGTTTCCACTGTGTGATACTGTGCTAGAAATCCAACCTGTGACCTGTGAGATAGCCTCAGCCACGGAGGACACCGGCAATCCAGCCTCCTGGGTCGTGGAAACCTGTCCTAGCGCGGTCAGCACCTGTAAATGCCCACAAAGCCGAAAACGCGCGGTATGCAAAGAAAGAAATCGAATCAATGGGGCACTATTTACAAGTGTACAGAAGTGTCTTCTCCTGGTTGCCAAATCACAAATCACAATCGCAAAAGCAGAAACAATTAGAGAACAAACGCAACCGTCCTGGAACATTCCCACTTCATACAAACTCGACTCTTGAAATTTTAGGCATCGGCAAGAACAATACCTCCAACGATTCATCGACAAACCTGAAGGGCGAACTCCACGCTGTTCAACGCAGGATGAAGCGAGAAACCAAACTTTCCAAAAGATTCGCAGTGCTGCAACCTGTAACACGGGACCTCATCATATTGTTCGATTTCATGACTGAACGAAGTGCCTGAAAAGGTGAAATCTTCGCCAAGATAAGATGCCCGCAGTAAGGAAGCGGAGAAGCGGCACTCGTGCCACAGGATAGGGGCATACACCACTTCCCATACAGGGGGTGCTCTCATCCTTGCAAAGCTAGTCGCGGTAAGCCCAAGAAGGTCCGAGATATCCAAGGATAGTCTCAGCGAAATCTGGCATTACCTGGGCCACATAGTAGTCGTCGCTGCGAGAGTTCTCGCAGTTGTCATTCTCCCGCAAAAGCACCACCAGCAGATCCAGGCACTCCAACGGCGTACAGCCATCTCGAGCGCGCATGTTTGCAGCCGCCCAGATCTGTTGTTATACTCGTTTCAGGGCGGGTCGAGGATGCTTCAATTCAGTGAGTGTTGCCGATGGCCCAGAAGGTGAAACGAGTGGTTCATAGCGCATAGAGTTGACACGAGCAGCGTGAAGCACGACGGGAAAGAGGGAGTTCTTCATGAAGGGGCAGGCGGAATGTAGCATGGTCGACGACAGTCATCGGGCTTAGTCTTATCCTCAGCATTGCTGAGGGAGCTACTACAATAATGTAGCCGACCCTGAGCTCATTCAATGACCTTGAGAGGGTACTTTAGACCCACCTTCACCAACATACAACAACACCGCCGGACACAAGCACCTACATCCAAACCCTCGGCAGTCCATCACCACCAACAACAGCAACAGCAGCGGCGATTAGTCCTCCCCTCACTCACCAGTGCTTTCTTCAAGCGGTATTCTGTCGAGTCCTCGAACCAATTCGGCAGGAGTAGGGCAGACTTGCGGTTTCCACCGCCGGACCCGGCTTCATCGTGTCCTATCCCCAACCGCATCCCCGATGAAGCAGGGCTTTTCGAGTCCCTCTGTTCGAACCTCTCCGCGAAGGCCTTGAGGAGGTGCTCCAAGCCCCTCCAGTTCTGTGCTCTCGTCTGAAAACATCCACCCGGTGGGAATAGGTCAACGTAGCTGCACAATCGGAATAAGAGACAGAGGGGCGACGACAGCATGTGGTGCTGCTACGGGATAGAAGAGCGAATCCAAGCCCCTATTGTTCGTTGCTGGGGATCGAGCTATGTACCATACGAGGTTGGCTTATGTTGATTGCTGACGACACCTGCGTCCGAAACCTGAGCACAGAATGGATGGGTTGTAGGAGAAGAAAAGGCAGAAAATACGAACAACCACAACACAACACCGACAGACGCACAGGGCATCCAAACGGCTGGCTTCTGCGTAGGGCGTAGCGGCTCAACGAAGACACACAATGGGATACATCAAGAGGGCGAGGTTGAGTAGGTTTGGCGTACGCGTACGTTGCCACGCCCCGAAACAGCGGATAAGGTGCTGTTGAGGTGATGCAGCCCATTCGCAAATCCGGAACAAACGAAAGCAGCATTATTCACTAGGAAATACAAGTCGCAGATCAAGGTGGACGACCCGCGACGTAAACGACTGCCTAAGAAAAAATGTCGACGTGAATTGAAGTGAGCTTAGAGCTGCATGAGACAAGCACTCCAACCGAGGGGAAGACAAAATGCATACTCCTGTTGTACAAAGACCCCATATGATGTTTTTTTCACCTCTTTCGACTCCCCAAAACCTCCGGCGTGAGGCGGTGCATGTTGGTTCTGCCAGAGAGCAAGGGCGACAGCCGCCTGCGTCGACAACAGCAACAACGGCAGCAACGACAACGAAAGGAACAGTGAAAATAGAAGGGTCCGAAACACGGATTGGGTATCCATCCATCATTGCCGGAATGCGTAGATATCGACTGGAGACCTGATGCCAGTGCCACAAACACCTCGTACGCAAGACCATAGTGGGGATGCAGGGACTGTTGCCGAAAAACATCCCGTACCCGTATGCTCAACCGCGGAATCAAAGTGAGTGCCACCCAGCGACAACCTTGTACACCGATGAGTATGCTGATCCCAACGGTCAAGAAGCATTCACAATACCCATCACACGACAACACAGACGCAACCGTCAGCGAAAGCTCGAGCGGCGAAAGCTGCAACAACGAGTGACAGTTGCCAATTCTTTCAAGACGCAAAAAACCATGCTCGATACGAAAATGGTGCTATCTGCAATCCAAGGGCTGTCGCCGTTACGACCCACAGGGGGTGCCATCTCGTGTTGGCGTCGATTTCCTCGGGCATCAAAGTCGCCAAATAGCAGCATATCCAACAGCGCTTGTACCATACGCAGGCGCTTGGTGCCAGCGGGACAGTTGTAGATGAAAGCGCTTGGGCTTAGGGTACACCGCTCGCTTTGGCGGACTCCCTTCTTCCTAACGTAGGAGGCGTGCACAAGTTGCGATTGCAGCCGGTCCTATCCACTATCGACAATAGGGCTCGGTGCCCACGGATCTGCAACTAGTCTTGCCTTGCCATGCCATGTTGCTGTAGACTACAAGGGTATGGTGGGAACAAGACGGTAATGGTACGCTTACGATTGGGCGTGAATCACCTCCTTCCGGACGCAGGAGGCGTGTTCCATCTGTGTGTGGGATACCCTTCCTCGGACGGCCTCAGCGATGGCTTGCACCGGCAGCTCCGAGTTCCTCAGCTCGAAGGGCAACGGCAGTTCCACCAAACCCCTTAGCGCGTCGCACTGGAAAACACAACGGATGCATCGGTCACAATGGAATCGCACGTGATACCTTCCTTTCGACCATGGGTCGACATGTTTAAGCCCGAAGGTCAGGAACGGCTCGGAAGCATTCGACGCATTCTTTCAACCCGGCGAATAGATACTAGAGTTGGAGGTGGAATAGTTTCTTGTTGTGGTTGCACAAAAGTACCTGCAGTAGGCTTGTGCGTCTGTTACAGAAGAACGGGGGGCGGTCAATCATCACCAGCTAGAGAGGGGGGTGGTATCCATCACCATTCGCTAGAGGGGGG